CTTCTTTTCTTTGAATTGGCTACGTGGATCTAGTTCATCTTCTTCCATGACGGGTTCCTTTCCCGGTCTCCTCCCCCTATCTCGGGTAAGATCCTCTCCAGTAAGTTCACTGAAGTTGGAAGGGTTTGAAGTCGGAATTACCGATGTCGGCTGAACCTCCGACAGAGTTGGACCAATCCCAAGATCGACATCTTGAATGTCTCAAGGAACCGAGCTCTGTAGAGCTCGGGTACAGTCGATCTTCTTTTCCTTCTCCTCAGCGTACGTTTCTATGTTATGGATCTCTCGAGAAGGGATTGCTAAGATTAACTCACGAGCTCCTAGCTGATCGCCACAATGAGTTCCCTCGCCATCAGCGGTTGAAAATTTGATTGCATAATGAAAAATGGACACGGCCGCTCGTAACTTGTATAGGGTTTTCCTTCCAATGATGGCATTATATTCGTTATTGATGTCCATGATTTTGAAGTTTTCCATGATGACCTTGGAAGTTTGCCCATGACCTCCGAACCTGATGGGAAGGGTGATTTCCCCCAATGGAAGAGACACGTACCCGTTGAATCCGTGGATCTTATCGTTGCAGGGGCGCACGTCGGCAGGGTCAAGTCCGAGCTTCTTAAAGGCTTGAAGCATAAGGATACTTGAATATGCGCCTGTATCCACCATTATACGGTGGACGGGGATTCCGCAGATTGGGGCGGTTATGAGTAATGCATCAGAATGAGGATGATCGAACAAGCATGCATCTTCTAATGTGAAGGTGATCGGACAAGTGCGCGAGTTAATCGTTTCCCTCAAATCGGTTGTCATTACTTGTTTTCCCGAGTTGTACGCTTTTCTAGCATATGCTTTTGCTTGCCGACGTGAGAATGTTAACTCTTCTCGGTTGGTATTAACTCGGGGAACAGAACCTAACCGAACTGGAATTTGAGGAGTGTGGTCAGTGTTGGAACTTTCGAGTTCCCTATTTCTCTTCCCAAGTCGGTCTTCGGCCGACTTGGACTCGTTTGGCCTGAGCATGAAGATCTCCTTTTCTCCTTGTTGTAGACGGATTCTTTTTGTGTTCATTGCTTCTTCGTCTTCTTCATCTCGGTCAGGAATGTGAGCTATTTGTCGCCTTTCTTTGCCTTCATGTTTGGTAAATCTTCTCACCTGTGGATTTCCAATCAGCTTCATGAGGGCCGACAACAAACTTAGGCATTCATCGGTGTTGTGACCTGGTGATCGGTGGTAGTCACAGTACCGTGATTTGTCCAGCTGACTCTCGGGAGTCTTTACTGGTCGGGCTTCAGGAATTATCCCTTTTCCTTTGATCTCTTGATAAACTGTTGCGGCACCGACCGAATAAATCGATCGGTACCCTGTGGTCAAATCCTCCTTGTATTGTCTTCTAGCAGCTTTCACGTCTGTATCGTTGGGTTCACTCTTATATGGTTCTCTGAAGGATAGACTCTTGGACAGGTTGCCGAGGTGCTTCTTTTTCTTGTTTTCAGAAGTCGGTTTCTGTCCTTTTGATGATGAGAACTCGAGGTCAGGAACCGACATGGACTCATCGGCGATGACATGTTGTTGAGCGCGAACGAGGAATTCTTGAAAAGTGATTGGTTTGTTTTGACATAGTGCCCAGCGACATGGATCTTGGCTTTAAACCCGATATTGCCGAGACAAGGACCGTCTCCGGATGACAAGGTTCCGTATTTTGCACGCGTTCATTGAAACGCGTAATGTAATCTTTCAAACTTTCATCTTCTTTCTGGACTATATTTGTAATTGATTCCTTCGGTATTAAGCTCACTTGGGCCCCGATAAAATGGGACCTGAAAGCTGATCTAAGTTGACACCAATATCGGATCGATTCGGCCGGTAACGAATAATACCACTTCTGAGCTTTAGGACCTAAGGTCAAGGAAAACATACGGCATCGTAGAGCGTCGTCGGCACCATGTAAGTCCATCCATGACGTATAATGTCCAAGGTGAGCATCGGGATCAGCGTTTCCATCGTAGAGACCGATTTGCGGGACTTTGACTTTTCCCGGCAATGGGCCCCTGGTCAGTTCGGGTGCCAGAGGAGAACCGACTTCCACATAGACATGGCTCGGTTCTGACACGTGGGGATGCGGATAAGGCCTGATTTGAGTGATTTGTCGGGCTTCCAACTCTGCCACCTTCCTTCTTAATGCCTCTACTTCGGAAATGTTACGTCGAGCGCAACGATTACACTCAATTTGTAGTCTCAGGTCAGCCGGGTTTTTGGGTTGTTGAAACAGTGAACGGACTGCAGGGGAATCCTGGGAACGTGTCCAGAATGACTTTCGGCAATCATCTCCGGTTGATTCATCTCTGGCAAGTTCATTTCTGCCGGAAGTACGTTGCCCACCGGTGGGGGGGGGGGNGGAGGGGGTGGATTGTTGTTGCGTGGTTGTGAAGTTGCATGTGACGCCGCTTGATTGTTGTCACCCCTTTGTATGGGGGGAACTCGTTGTCTTGCCGGAGTTATCGGGACAAGAGATTGTCCCGGTACCCTTTGTGATGGCCCTAGCATGGTTTGGGCCAACAAAGCAGTGAGCCCCCGAGCAAATTCTGGGTTCTGGATGAGCGTGGTGATGTCCGGCATCACAGGCACCGGATTATGTTGACCGGTAGGTGCTTCCACAACGCGAACGGCACTTCCCATGGTCTTTGGATTATCCTGTCCGGATTGCGACATTCTTGGTTTTTGAGATGTGGTGTATTTTTATCTCGAAAATTAACTCCAAATATCTTATGGAGCCCTCCTTCTAGCGCCAAAATGTTGACAAACGGATTTAACCAACGTAATTAAGGTAAAAAGTACAGTAAAGATTGCAGAAAATATGATTTTTATTGCAACTATTGAAGTCGGTTACAGAATTGGGAAGTCGGTTTTTTCATGTACACCAAGTCGGTGACAGAGAAAACCGAGATAAATATATGCGTTTTGCTATCTTTTTGCCGAATCCTCGTATCGTCTTTAATGTTGCTATTTATAGTTATGCTTGGCACACATCCCAAGATAAATTAGCTTCATTTAATGAAGATTTGACGGCTTAGGGGCGGCAATGACGTAGGCAAACTTTTTAGGTAATGATGAGCATGGGCGCTCCTCTATCTGTGTGACAAGCGTCACTTCTGCCGGGTTGAAGTCGGTGTTATTCGCGACGTCGATTTTTCAATAGAATTTTAGCCCTCCATGACATCCGACAAGCTACTCTCTAACCGAGGTGGCAATCTTGAGGTTTTAACGTTTTATCCTGACGACCTTTGGGATTTTTTGTCTTCGAACGTCATATGAGAACCGAGGTGATATTTCCGAGGTGCCAGCTATTTCGTTTTTTATTGTCAAAGACCCGGTTCGTGGTTTGAAATTTATGAAATCTTTAATCTATCCTTTATCTCAAGATATTTAATCTTGATATCAACATACAACAATGAAAAAATTATATGAGAAGATAACAAAAACCATCACCGTTCAAACTCAAGAATTATATGTATCATTTAAAACCTAATTCCCAAATTTGACAACAATAATCCAAATCGAACAAATTCCAATAGTGAGCATTTGAAATAGGTTGATTGAATGTGAATTAGTTTGCTACAATGAAATAAGGGAAAAAAAAATAAAGGGAATAAGAAAGTCTAACCTGTGTTGCCCATAATTTCTTTTTTCGATGACGTCACCGAGACACTGTTGGTGCTCTCGATGTGCGCTTCACTCCTATCCGGTAGGGCTTGACTTGCCACCTTTGGTACGGTTACGGTCGAACGAAAATGGTGTGGGGGAGTGTTCATTTTTGGAAAAGTCGTCGCTGCAATTTATGGTGGAAGGTAGAGCTACCTCGATGGAGGATTGATTTTCTCGATCTTGGGTTGCAGTTTCAAAAGGTGGAGACATTTTAAAATTAAAAAGTCCAATTTGACAGCTTCGGGCCCACATACAAATAAAGGTGGTATTGCAAAATAAGTATACAAACACCTACTACAATTTAATTATAAAAAACAAGATTTATGATTGATTAACTTGTAAACAAATAGGTCTTAATTTTCATTCTTTAAAAAACTATTTGACAAAAACTCATATCACTACATTAAAATAAGTGCACCATGATAAATTAGTTGATGTTTGATGTTTGTTTGTGGTTGCCAACGACAAGGTCACGTAAATGGTCTCGTTAAAGTTAGGTGTGCGTTGATTTTGTTTTACTTTGTTTTTGTTTTGTTAGTCCAGCTGCGTTTGACTTTTGTCTTCTTTATGAAGTTTTATTTTGTGAGTGTTGGTGTCTCCTTGATGGAGTTTGTATCCCCTTGGGTACCTGTGTATCTAAGGGGGTTGGTCTAGACTTTTCTCTGGTTCAGTAGTGTTCGTTGACACATTGATTGTACTTTTTGGAATTTTCAATTATTAATATATTTATAGTTTGATATATATATAAAAAAAAAAAAAGAAGTTAGAAGAATAAATAATTATTATAATTTAGTGACAAACCACAAGTATAAGGTTCTAACGTATTTTATCGCTTATTTGGTCATTAATTTATATGTAAAACCAATTTAATCAATGTTATAATTAATTAAGAATGCAAACATAGTAATATTAAGCTTAACTTCAGATTACTATAAAAATCTTGATATAAAATTATATAAAAATGATCTATATAAAAATCTTGATATAAAATCATAAAAGTAAAAAGTCTTTATTTTTTACCGGTATTTGTCGGCTTAACCAGTATTTTATAACATGAACCGATTAAAATCTGACTATGATATTCTATCCAATATTACAAACTGATAGACTACAATATTTTACAAATTGAATTTGTGGAAGAGGTAAAACCGTAAAGGGATATTTTCGATCCCAATAAACTATTTTGCTTAAACAAATATGAATAATAATTAATTTTCCAACATTAGCTTGACTTTTAATCTCATGATGACTTGACTTTACCTTCATTTCCTCTCCACCCACCCACCCACTCCCACCCATTTTCCAGATCTGAGATCCACCAAACCCTCCAAATCTCAACCGTCCATTTCACTCCCTTAAAAACTTATTTATATCCCTCTCCTTTCAGCTTGCCAATTCCTACCTACTTCAATCCTCTCTCTAAATCTCATTCCTTCCCAAACACCATCACCATGGCGCTGCTAGTGGAAAAAACCACCTCCGGCCGTGAATACAAGGTCAAGGACATGTCTCAGGCCGATTTCGGCCGCCTCGAGATCGAGCTAGCCGAGGTCGAAATGCCTGGGCTCATGTCCTGCCGGACCGAGTTCGGCCCCGCCCAGCCCTTCAAAGGCGCCAAGATCACCGGCAGCCTCCACATGACCATCCAAACCGCCGTCCTAATCGAAACCCTCACCGCCTTGGGCGCCGAGGTCAGATGGTGCTCCTGCAACATCTTCTCCACCCAGGACCACGCCGCCGCCGCCATCGCCCGCGACAGCGCCGCCGTGTTCGCCTGGAAAGGGGAAACCCTCCAGGAGTACTGGTGGTGCACCGAGCGCGCCCTCGACTGGGGCCCCGACGGCGGCCCGGACTTGATCGTCGACGACGGCGGTGACGCCACGCTGTTGATCCACGAGGGCGTGAAGGCCGAGGAGGAGTTCGAGAAATCCGGGAAGGTTCCAGATCCGACCTCGACGGACAACCCTGAGTTTCAGATCGTGCTGACTATCATCAGGGATGGCCTCAAGGCTGACCCGAAAAAGTACACGAGGATGAAGGAGAGATTGGTCGGTGTGTCTGAGGAGACCACCACTGGCGTTAAGAGGTTGTACCAGATGCAGGCCAGTGGCACTCTGCTTTTCCCTGCTATCAACGTCAATGATTCTGTGACCAAGAGCAAGGTAAATATTTTGCATTTTATTTTCATATTATTCATAATTTGAATTTTAGATTTGAGATCTGATTTCTGTATAATCGAAATCAATTACAGTTTGACAACCTGTACGGCTGCCGTCACTCTCTGCCCGACGGACTCATGAGGGCCACCGACGTGATGATTGCCGGAAAAGTTGGTGTGGTGTGTGGGTACGGAGATGTGGGCAAAGGCTGCGCCTCTGCCCTTAAGCAAGCCGGAGCTCGCGTGATTGTAACAGAGATCGACCCCATTTGCGCCCTTCAGGCACTAATGGAAGGCTTCCAAGTCCTAACCCTAGAAGACGTGGTCTCAGAGGCCGACATCTTTGTCACCACCACAGGCAACAAGGACATCATAATGGTTGACCACATGCGCAAGATGAAGAACAACGCCATTGTCTGCAACATCGGCCACTTTGACAACGAAATCGACATGCTCGGGCTCGAGACCTTCCCAGGCGTGAAGAGAATCACTATAAAGCCACAAACTGATAGGTTCGTCTTCCCGGACACAAACTCTGGTGTGATTGTGTTGGCCGAGGGCCGTCTCATGAACTTGGGCTGCGCCACTGGCCACCCGAGCTTTGTCATGTCGTGCTCGTTTACCAATCAGGTGATTGCGCAGCTGGAGCTCTGGAATGAGAGGAAATCGGGAAAGTATGAGAAGAAGGTTTATGTGCTGCCCAAGCATCTTGATGAGAAGGTTGCTGCACTACACCTTGGGAAACTTGGGGCTAAGCTTACTAAGCTGAGTAAGGACCAAGCTGATTACATTAGCATTCCGATTGAGGGTCCTTACAAGCCTCCTCATTATAGGTATTGAGGGAAGAACAATATAGAATTAACAAGGAATTTCTACTATTTTTTTTCACCGGCATTCTTGTCTGTTCTCTTATTCGAAGTATGAGGGTATTGTATTGTCTTTTCATTTTGTTTTATTGTGAGGATCAGCAGTTTGAAGTTCATTTTTTATGACTTGAATAATAAGTTGATGAGGATTTGTGAGTCTTGATATTTTACTTCCTTTTGTATTTTGCTTCTTGAGCATTCACTGGCTGTTGCGGTTGTATCTGTTTTCGGCGTTTATTTATGGAATATTGTCGTGCTCCAATTTCACAGTACAACAAAGGGTGGATTTACTATAGGTAATTTTCTAAAGCTTGTTTTGTGAAGGCGAAAATTGCACCGAATATCACAACTTTATTAGAATTTGAAAATTTAGTTAGTCTCATTTTCCTTTCTGGCTTTCTTCTTTATTCCGTAGGATCCATGTAATTGGGAAATGGAGTTCAGGAAATTACCTTATATAGTAAAATTGGTTAACTACTGATTTTACGGTTTCATTTTTTTTAAGTGGAAGACAAAGTTCTTAATATCATTTTAAGGTGAATGAAAAATTAATTCTAAATGGTATATGTGGAATAATAGAGGTGAAGTAACTCAAAGATTGTAGGATTCACAAACATTATGTTTCTAACAAATGTTTCGATAAACTAAACGAGCCATAATCATGCACAATGTATGCTAGAACTGTAGAAGGGCTCGCTGGGGACGAGTACGAAAATTTGGAAGTCGTTTTTCGACTCCGAACGAGCAAATACGATCTTCCAGTGCGCAGCTGCTCGCCAGGCCCTGTCGCGTGCACGATAACTTGTTTTGCCTTGCGGAAGGGTGCAATGAATATGCGACACTGATGCACCCGTTCGTTCTGAAAAGGTTCCTACTCAGTTTTGGACTTGGTCGCCGAACACGTCCCAAAATGTGTCTTTTGATGTCTTCAACTCCTTGGGGATGTGTTAGAACATCTATAAATTCTCATAAAGTGAAATGGATAAAAAGAAATCAAAATTTTAAGAGCTATTTGCATCCTTTTATGAAGTTCGTAAATTATCTTGTGTTCTTTGTGTTTGTTTCTATCTTAAGAGTTCCGAAACTTGAGTATTGTTCACTGAAGTTTTGTGTATTTGAGTTACCGCTACACACAAATCGAAAGTCATTGTATCTTGGAGGCGTTAGATGTAAACCATGAGTAATATATGAGGCTATTTCGGCTTAAGGAGAGAGCGTGTCTTACGTGCCTTGACTTTATTCGTTTTATCATTTTCCTTCTAATTTCTTAAGCAATTTTCTTGAGATTCACATACAAAATTCGTCAATCTTAAGAAGAAATATTTGCGAGTTCATAAGATGAAAACCAATGGAAACCCAACGTATTCTTCAAGGCATCAATAGACCACTGCAGCTGCTACTAATCCATTCACCCCGATGGTAGTTGCTCTCGTCCAAGACGAGAGACCGTCGATATTCAATGGCTCTGATTTCAAGAGGTGACAACAAAAGTTTATTTTCTACCTCACAACTCTCTCCCTTTCTCGTTTTCTTTTGGAGGACCCTTTGATCATCTCCGAAAGTTAGACCGACGTCCAAAAGTGTATGGCGGATGTTTGGCATCATAATGATTTCTTGTGTAGAAATCTCATACTTAACAGACTAGATGACACACATTATAGTGTGTATAGTCCAATTAATGCAACCAAGGAGTTATAAATTCCATGAAGGTGAAGTTCAAGACAAAAGATACTGGAATTAAGAAATTTCTCGTCGGTAGATTTCTAAAGTACTTGATAATTGACACCAAGTCGGTGGTTAGTCAAATACAAGTGATTCAAATCATCCTTCCCGATTTGTTGGCCGAGTGATTGATTGTAAAAGAAGCCTTTCAAGTAGCGGCTATTGTTGAAAAGTTGTCCCCCTTGTGGAATGACTTCAAGAGTCATCTCATGCATAAACGCAAAGAAATGAAACTCGAAGACTTGATATTTTGTCTTCGGATAGAAGAAGATAATCGAAAATCTGAAGTATTGGCCAAATAGAGCAAGAGAGGCTAAGACAAACTTGGTCAAGCCGAGCTAGTGTAAGAAACATAAAAATGCTTTTCCAAGAAATCCAAGGGATGTTGTTACGATAGTGACAAACCCAAGAACGTTGCCGAAGATTACTAACTTCTGAAGAGGGGTAAAAGATAGTACGAATTGTCGAGGAAAAGATAAGAACAAGAGCCACTACCATAGGCACTTATAAATGTTGTCCTACAACCCTAATTAATAAAGAAAGTAATTGTGAAATTCCTCGACTTCAAGTGTTGAAGGAACTGACAAAGTGGTGTACTAAGAATGAATATTGGAGATCGTGGATGTTCTTAACGCCCAAGGCATCCATAAGAATCTAGTTTTCAGACCATTGATTGAGAGACCGGATTTAAGTTAGTTTATGATAATCGAAAAATGTGTTATGTCGAAATATGATGCATTCTTAGCAAAGTATACCTTAGTAAAGGTCATTTTACAATTATTGTAAAAATTGTAATCCAATGTTTGACGAGAAGATAAATATGTTGGTCTTATTTATTGAGTGTTCTAATTTATGACATTATAAATTATGACTTATGGATTTAACACTAAAGTTGGTGAATCTAGAATTGATTCATACAACAAATATGAAACATGTGCTAAATTGAAAAGTGACATAAAACACCGTTTTAATCGATTGCTTAATAACACTAGTCCTCTCGAGATAAGTCACACCAGTAAATGTGATTTAAGAGTTTGTGCAGACTCGAGTAGGAAATATATTATAAGAGTGCACAGAAATTATCGTAAAGTTTTTGTAGTTTTAAGCCACATAAGAATGAGGATGATATTTAATTAAACAATTAAAAAAATAATCACTCTTGAGTAGGTGATAATTTTTTGTTAAGCTAAAGGTTATGTGAGAAGCAATTATTTTGACAAAATTGCATTAATGTGGAAAACACCACATGAAGGTAGATACGAAACTTCGTTTCAGTTATAAAAAGAGAAAAAAAATATTTGTACCTATACCTTAAAATGTGGGGGTTTTCGGGCATGGAAAACACCACACGAAGGTAGATACGAAACTCTATTTGAGTTATAAAAAGAGCAAATCATTCGTACATATACCTTAGTATGTGAGGGTATTCGAGCAAAGGGAGAAATACCTAAATAATGGCATGAAATATTTGTTGAAAAAAATTTTGTCGAATGGTTTCAAATTCATTAAATGACAATATGAGTCTGCTAAAGGTTCCGCTGACTCTTTTTTATAGTAAGCCTTATATAGACAATATGTTGACCTTGGATTATAATCATGATGTATTGATGTGTTCATGAATACCAAGAAAATAAATTTGACATGAAAAATTTGTGAGTATCCGATGTAATTTCGTTGATTGAGTTTCTAAGAGATCGAAAGCAATTTTCTGGCACAATCTCTTCATGTCAAAAGTATGTTGAAGAGGTTCGATGTGCTTGATAAAACCTCTGGCTGAGATGAATGTAGATTTGACTATAAAATTAGCTAACAATTCGAGAACAATTAGTTTCTCGGCTAGAATATGCTCAATAATTAGAGGTTTGAGGTACTTTTCGGATAGTACCCGCTTCAACGTTGAATTTTAGCGATTAAATTAAAAAGGTTCGCGAATAACTCTAGCGATGAATTTCGATCACGCTAAATTGAGTATTGGACATGAAAAACTACAAGAGTAAATGTAACTACGTATTCACTTTAGTCGGTAGAGTTGTTTCATGAAAATTATATAAGTACAAAGCAAGGTCCACAATGGAGTCCAGGTTTATAATTTGGACAAAAGACATGGAAGAAGCTAAATGACTTAGAAATTTTCTAAAAGATATTCCTTGATGGAATAAGTTGTGCTCATCATGATGATTTTTTGTGATAATCAATCAGCAATTGGAAGAGTACAAAGTAGTTTGTACAATAATAATTCTAGACATAGACACCTGAGACTTAATTTAATAAGAAAATCATCTTGTGTGTGGGTTATGTTTGTCTCATTTTTGTTACGTTTTTCGTGTCTATTTTCTCGTTCTTTTTTCCCCATTTTGAGTCATTTATGTGGTTTTAGAGTCGTTTTGTCGTTTATTGCGTGTTTTCCTCTATTTGGAGTCTTTCTGTATTTTTCGGTCATTTCTCGGTCGTTTTTCTACTTGTTTTTAGTGTGCAGGTCGCAAGCCCCGTGAGGAATCGATTTAGCTCGAAAATGGGCCGGGAAATCATGGTTGTATAATGAGTTCGTTGGCGATATATAGGAAAAAGCGGAATTCGATTTCGAGTTCGTACGAGTCCGGACAGACCTGATATATGAAGTCGCGCACGGAAGCCGCCAACTTCAAGTCAAAAGCTTTGAGAGAATAGGTTTTCAAGACTAAATTGGATTTGAAAGCACCATTGCGTAGAGGGCTTCATTGGCAACGCATAGGAAAAAACGGAACTCAATTCCGAGTTGAAACGAACGTAAACGAGTCCGAGACACGGACAAGGACGAGCTGCCCAGGCCCCGCGCGCCCACCGCCCCGCGGAGCGTCCTTCTGATGAAGGATCGCGTGTTTCCGACTCGTGACCTTGCCTCGGACGTTGCGTGAACTCGATGTTCGGCGAGGGTTGCGGACGACTCGGAGGTTAACTCCTTATCTTCTCGCGATAGGTGAGACAGCTTGGACGGATGTCCTTTCCAAACTCGTCTTGTTCGAGCTATGCGGTGAAACGCCCTTCTCATGACAAGGGTTTTGTACTAAATCTCAAAAGAAATCTAACACAAGAAATTAAACACAAGGTTCGACTTTTTCATTATTTTCAGCATGATCTTTTCGAATGACAACGGGGCATATTTATAGATGTCAAACTAAGTCTAATCCTAGTCTAAGAAGAACTCCCAATGCTTGGAAATAAATAAAATCCTAAGGAAACTAAATATCTAATGCATAAAGAATTACCGTACTACTAGGATACTATTAGGCACATGCCTTTTATTCCAAATCCTAACCATACTATGATTCCTAATTATGCTAAGAAAATCGGCCCCTGGCCATCTTGAAGCTTCACGCGTTTGCCTTGTCCAAACCCTAGCTACGACGGCTAGTCCTTGTCCTTCGAGGTCATGGACTCCATCGCGCCCCACGCGTCCCACGCATTTTCTGCCTTGCGCCCCAGGTCGCGCGGTTCATCCCTAGGCGGCGCGGTACTCCTAGTCCTCCGAGGACTCATGCGTGCCAGTCCTTGCACGTCGCGCCTCATGCACCCGCCAGCTGTCCTTCGCGCGTTGCCGCACCTGACCCCATTGTCTAATCCTTGTCCAACGAGGCTTAGTGGCTGTCCGTGCATAGCCTCGTTCCTCGCACCTTGGCAGTGCTCGACCCAGCTAGCTTCGATCTGCTCATGCCTCGATCTGCTCGACACCTCGACCATGCGCGTCCTCGACTCCGCGAGCACCATCCATCTGTCCGTCTTGTTGCCTGATCGACCTAGCGAGTGTCGAC